GACTAACCCCAGGCAGATCCCAGATGGGCCGAGGACAGATCCCAGACTAACCCCAGGCAGATCCCAAACTGATCCCAGATGGGCCCAGGACAGATCCCAGACAGGACTGATCCCAAACAGATCTTGGACTAACCCTGGCAGATCCCAGATGGACCCAGGACAGATTCCAAACAGATCCCAGACTAACCCCAGGCAGATCCCAGATGGGCCCAGGACAGATCCCAGACAGGACTGATCCCAAACAGATCTTGGACTAACCCCAGACAGATCCCAGATGGACCCAGGACAGATCCCAAACAGGACAGATCCCAGACTAACCCCAGGCAGATCCCAGATGGGCCCAGGACAGATCCCAAAGAGATCCCAGACTAACCCCAGGCAGATCCCAAACTGATCCCAGATGGGCCCAGGACAGATCCCAGACAGGACTGATCCCAAACAGATCCCAGACTAACCCCAGGCAGATCCCAGATGGGCCCAGGACAGATTCCAAACAGATCCCAGACTAACCCCAGCCAGATCCCGGATGGGCCCAGGACAGATCCCAGACTAATCCCAGAAGATCCCAGTCACACCCTGGACAGATCCCACACGGATCCAGGACAGACTCCAGTCAGAGCCTAAGATCCCTTGCCACATGGATCCCAGACGGATCCTAGACAGGACCCAGATAGATTTAAAAAAAAAAAAAACAAACAAAAAAACCCACTAGATGGGCTCAGGACCAATCCCAAAAAGACCCCAAATAGACTCACGTGGACCCAAGACAGATCCCAGACGGATCCTGGACAGACCCCAAACAAGCAGATCCCAGAGCCTGGACAAATGCCCCCAAAGTCCCTAAATGGACTCAGAATTGATCCCAGACTGACCCCAGGCAGGCCTGGGATGGATCCCAGATGGATTCTGGACAGATACCCTAAGAAAAGACCCTAAATGGACTCAAGATAGATCCCAGGCCTGGGATGGATCCCAAAAAGATCCTGGACAGACCCTGGACCTGCTGGGGTGGGTCTCGGGATTTTGAGGCTTTTTCCCACTTTTCTGCAGCTTTTCCTGGACGACACCAAAGTCAAGAACTTCATCACCTGCTTCAAAGGTACCAGGGACATCCCCCCGCCCCAAATCCCTCACCTGCCAGCACAGCTCTTCTGCCATCATCCTTAATTAGGAGCTGATCCTTAATCAGGAGCTGATCCTTAATTGGGATTTCATCCTTAATTGGGGTCTCAACTTTAATTGGGGGCTGAGCTCTCGGCAGCAGGGTCAGGGAGGGGGACACCCCCTACTCTGGCAGCTTCGCAGGTGGCAAAGCAGCCGCCGGGCACTATTTGCATATTAATTACCTTATTAATTAAGCAGCTCTGGCTATTAATAGCTCCCATTTGCCTTTCCCAGCACGGCAATTCTTCCCAAGCTGACTGCTCCTCCCTCCACCAACCTCCCAAAACGCAGGCACAGAATTCCCATTAACAACCAACCCCCTGACTAATTAACCCTGGGAGGTTAATTAAGGGCGGGGGGGAGCAGCGAGCTGACGTCCATCCGCATCCATCCTGGCAGACGTAGGGTTCCTCACCTTCTTCTTCAAGCACCTGGCGCCGAACCGGAGCGGCCGTTACGAGGCTGAATTTCCTTTCCTTTCGCTCTGTGGCCGGGAACGGAATTTCCTCCGTTGCGACGATCGTCCCGTCGTCTTCACCCAACTTTTGCCGGGTTCCGGTGAAAACCAGCTCCTCTCCTACTGCGGCGGCGGCGAGCGCCTGGCCGTGCCTTTTCAACCAGAAAGTTTAGTGATGCTACCGGAAAACGGGCGGCTCTACCACCCGGCGCCGGCAAAAACCGGCGGCGTAGGGTTGGTGCGTTCGGCGTTGGCTTTTGAGTGGAGCCCCTTCTTCGAGTACAGCGAAGGGCCGGCGCAGCCCCCCACCCATTTTATTTGGGAAGGGCGACGTTATCGCCTCACCGAGGAATTGTTGCCGCTGCTCCGGGGCTGCACTGAAAAAATCCCGGTTGTCCCCGTTACCCCAAGCCAAGGTTGAGTTGGGGATCTTGCAATCATCCCCATCACCCCCACACCGATGACAAAATGGCGGCGGAGCCTGGTGGAGGGTGGGTGTGGCCGGGACCCCCCCTGTTTCTCTGTGAAAAAAAAATAATAATAAGACAAGCAAGCATGGAGTTATTGTAGGGTATACGCGTAAACAGCGCCGCGGTTACGGCTGCTGCCGTAACCTCAACGCCGGCCAAGCGGCAGCAATTTATTAACTGGTCTCCTGGCATTAATTAATCAGCTGGACGCTGATCTGCCCTGCACTGGTGGGTGTTATCGGTGGCACTGGGTCCCCCCGTGGCGTTACGGTGACAACAAAAGAGAGAAGGTAGCGGAAAAGCACTGGGGTGAGGAGAAAGCGCCGAATTTGGGGAGGAAGGAGGGGTCGGGGGATGGCGGTGAGGCCGCGGCGCTTGGCTGGGGTGAGGGCTCTGAGCTACAAGGTGAAGTAGTCGAGGGCACCGTGACAGCAGAGGCTGGTGGTCCAGACGGCATCGGCTCTGCCGGAGCTCGCCAGCATCTGGGTCAGCTCGGTGCTGACCGCGGCAAACCGGTTCTTGTCCACCGTGTCCTCGGAGAGATGGTCAAAAGCGGGGGCCAAGCGGGAGGGGTCCTGGCTGTAGCAGTCCACGGGGTACGGGTAAACAACGAGGTGTAAATCTGGGAGAACCACGGTTTTCCGTGCCAAGGTTTTAAGTCCTGATGTAGAGAGGGGGTTGCCGAAAAGCCCCAAACAACGGAGGCGGGAGCAGCGGCAGAGCACCGGCAGCAGATCCGCCAGCTGGGCGTCCGTCAGGTGACATTCCATGAGATCCAGGTGGAGGAGGGAGGCGGAAATTTCCTCCAGGAGCTGGCAGAGGGATTGGAGAAGGCTCCCGGTGAAATTGTGACCGCTCAAGTCCAGTCTCCTCAGCGCCGGAGCGTGGATGCTTTGGCAAAGGAAAGCGAGGTCACCGGGAAGGAGGTAACAAAACGCCAGCTCCAGGCTTTCCAGGGGAGCCTGCATGTCGCTGCCAGAGAGAGGGGAGAGCGAGTCGTGAGCCCCCCCAGCACTGTGCAGGAAGGAGCTGTCACCAGTCTAAACCTCGTATTAAACCTTCAACTGAGAGGCCGTCGCCATATTCCCAGAGGAAAAACGGCAAAACCACCATGTCAACCGGGAGCCGCGAATTCCCCAGCATGAAAAAGAGCTGCTCAGGGAGCTGCTCCCCCAGGAACTTACCCGAGAAGTTGCCTCAGGTTTCCCGAAAGCCTGGAGGAACTGAAGTTGAGTTCCTTGAGGCAGGGAAACCTCCCCAACTGCGCGGCGAGTTGCCGGAGGCCGGTGTCCGTTCTCAGAGTGAGTCGCCGCACGTCGACATTGCTGTAGGATAGGTTGAGGCTGAGGAGTTTGGTAAATCTGGTGATGTGCGGCAAAACGGCGCAGAGACCGGACGGGCCCAGGTTGTTAAAGCGCAGATCCACCCGCCGCACGCCGACGGGGTCCAGGGACTCCAACAAACTCATAATGCCGGTGATGGAGAGCTCCTCGGTGTGGAAATCCCGGCACCTGAGGCGCAGGGGACCGGTGGCAGTCTGCAGGGCGTCCCGCAAGACGCCGAAAGACGTGCCATTGACAAAAAGATCGGCGCGGATCTCCATGCTGAAGGGTTGCGGGGTCGCCGAGGCACCGGAAGAACCTTTCTGGCGCTTGGAGCCGTGTTTCTGACACTCATTTTTGTGTTTGGAGACCTCGATGCAGGCTTTGGCTAACACCACCGTGCTGGACCACAGGCTCATCCTGTTCGGGCCGCAGTCGGTGTCCAAGTCCTGGACACCTGTCATGTCCAACACCCGCAGCCGGCACTCTCTCTTGCTGGGTGAAGACAAAAAATTTTATAAAAAGGTGAATAAACGAGCGGGGAAATCAAGGAACTGAAATAACCACGCAGCCAGCGGCTTGCTCCAGCCCCGAGCGCAGCGAGGGTCGCGGTCTTGCTTCCCCCCTGCCTTGCTGGTGCATGGAACAAGCCCAGCGCTAGCCCACGGCTTCCTCCCTCTTCACCGTCATCACCCCGAGGCAGAAAATTGTCTCCCATCCATGCCGGGGGAGTTCGGCATCCCAGCACCCACCTGGTGCCATGACAGGGCTCCTCCAGCGCCTGGCGGAGATGGGCCACGACGGCCATGATGACGGCCTGGATGCACAGTTTGTTGGGTCTTCCCCTGAGGGATGGGTGATGGCTACTGTGCCGCTGGTCATGGTGGCCCAGAAGCTGCTGGAAACTGAGGATGGGGAAGGGCCACGTCGCCACCAGGTCCTGCAGCGCCAGCGTCCGTCTGTCCAGGAATGCAGCTTGGAAAAGGACGGGGTAGAGCTCGGCGGGGAGAAGGTCGAGGGCGCAGCGGGC